GACATTTTTAATGAGGAGAAAAACTTATATCGGGGATACCACCATGACGCTATCCCAAGCCAATCACTCATTGTCTTGTGTTTTAACTTTCCAACATGACAATATAACTTTCTGACATGACAATGCGTGATTGACTTGGAATACAACCACAATAACATCTCCGTTACATGTAAGTTCTTTTACATGATGAGAGAGTTCGAGCCCTCCAACCTAAAACTAAAATAAAAACAAGAACAAACGGTTGAGATTGGAGAGTGAAGAGTACTAGAGAGTGAGGTTGAAAGGTCCATGTTGATGCATGTGTATTTTACCTAACAAAAAAGGGTAAAAAGAATAAACAATGAGAACAAACATGTAGAACAAGAAAATTTACAGCGTTTTGTTTGGGCTGGTCAATTATTGTACATAAATTAAAGAGGCTACTTGCCCTAGTGGCCACTATTAAAAATGGTACAGATCAATATCCAGTCTCAAGAAACAGCTATCAACAGCCACATCCTATCAATTATTTATCATTGGAAAAAAAAAAAAAAAAAAAAACAGAAGAAGAAGAAGCTCTGTACATGAAGGTGAAAGAATATAGATTCGATTTCCCAAGTCCAAGTCCAACATTCAACCGCACACGTCGCCGAAAACCCCAGTCAGCCAGCACGTGCGGCCTCATTGCCCCATGATTATTATATACTTAGCGAACAGCATCCACAAATTATTACAATAATTACTCCCGCAGAATAATTAAAGAATGTAAAAGGAAGAATATAAAGCAATGTTTAAGATGGCTATTAGTGTATTATTACTAGTCCTACTTTTATTATTGTGTGCTTCAAATCCACGAGTCCTTGTTCACATCTCCAAACGCATTAACAAGGCTCATGCCGAAGATGCTATTTGGCTCCTTACATGTAAAGAGTCATTCCTTCCGTACAGACTAATCACAGTCTGGCATATATATGCAAATGTAACAAAGAAAAGTTTATACGCACATGTCAAAGAGGAATAACTCCTTACGCGTAAAGAGCCAAATATTTTTTAGAAGGGAAGTTATCCCATATCTTTTTAATCATTGATTAACAAAAACAAACAGTGTTTTTCGTCTCTAAGATACCGATTATTCTGTATTAATTAACTATTGGATGAGTCAGTCAAAGCAACCAAAAAAAAAAGGTAAGAGGTGGGTGTGGCCGACATAAACTTGGTTGTAGGCCAAAAGAGAAAGAGAGGGAAACAAGGATGGAGACTGAAGTTCAAAGAAACAAGGGGAAAGGGTCCCCCCAACAGCCCTACAAGTCTTTTAAAGGGGATAAAGAAAAGGTAAATGTAGATGGATGATCATTTGCAGAATTTGACTAGTATTTCTTGCATTTTAAAACGTAGCCTTTTCAGGTAATGTCATGTGCTGCTGAGTGGTGAGGTGGTGGTGGCCTTCAATTTTGAAGACAAAGTTTTTGGTAGACATGCATGCAGATGCAGTACAAAGGGGTTTGGTGCCCTTTCACTTATTTTTTTTAATTTGCAACGTTTTTCTTGTACATTACAAAACTTTTAAATCACTAATATTCGGGTTGGGTCCACTTTTCTATATGCTAGCTAGAGCTAGCTAGCTCTCATCACTGAGATTCTTCTCTTTTCTTTTGTGTTTTTTTTCCCTTTTAATCAAAGGGCCATCCAGTACTAGAGACAATCATGGTATATTAGTTTTGGCTTGATTGCAAAGTACTGGATTTCCTCCATTAATTTTGTAGAAGAGTTTCTATAATTCAATAAAATGCATAGTGAAGAAAAACATTAATTTCTCAACGAAGTCTAGTCCAGTGGAAAAGAGTCTCGACTTGCAATCTCAGGTTCGAATTCTTATAGTACCTTTGGTAGTGTGCATGTGTTAGAAACCTATTTCCCCTAGTAGTTCTTTTATATAAAGAATTCTAAGATTGCATTCATAATTCAACCAAAAAAGCCACTAGCCATGAAGAGCCAATACAAACTAGTCACAAAGGACCATTATAATAACGGAGTGATCTAACATCAAAGTTAAAACAATCTAGGGCTCATTCACTAACGATCAAGCAGAATTGAAGAAACTTTGGCATAGGCCCCAACTAAGAGAGAAAACTCATAATAATTAAAAATAGATAAAGTTTGAAAAAAAACCAAACCATAACAGTACAAATAAAACTCTCACAAAAGAGAGGTGGAAAGCTCTCACAAGTGAGAGGTGAAAAGCTCTCACAAAATGAGAGGTGAAAAGCTCTCACAAAATGAGAGGTGAAAACTACATAGAAAACCCAAAGTGTCTCTGTGACTTATTCCAAACATAAAGCAACCACAAAAAGGATGGTGGTAAAGATCCAACCCCAAAACACAGCTGGAAATTCGATACCGAAACGCATCCGCAATTTTATTTGGAGGAGAGTTTAAAGAAACATTCAAATTCAGTTCGGCAGTTTACCTAAACATCTTGCTTTTTTTGACCGTGCTGCTCTTTAAAAATATTTCTTAACTATAGCTACATTTAATATCTCATCATTCTGGGTGTTGCTTTCTGTAATTTAACAACCTTATATATAGGTTTCAAATAGCATATTAATAATATATAGCTCGAGTCCTAGAGGTAGCTTACTTCAAGGAGTTTAAAAAATCAACGGCATCTCCGAGAGTTACTCAAAGTATTTGATTTGAGTTCAATATGCACGAGCGTGATAGCATGAATAAGTCACGGGGGACCACATTTTCAGACCCAATAAGTTTATTTGTACCACGCTTGGTACCACATTTTTACATTTATTAGAAATGTAATATACAATATGATACATTCACGTTAATTCGCTAACAATTTAGCTTAACTTCTCAATTACATATATATTTCGCTCAAAAAAATTACGTCAATGTTTATTACGACAAATAACACATCAACCATCACACCATATTAATTAGATAACACCATGATTCTTTCTCTGATAAGTATAGAAGAAGAATTACTAGGACAATATGTTATGCTGCTGTCAAGAGGCAACTATCCCTCCCTATTGATAGGTATTGCCTATAAAACTACTCACTAGCTAGCCCTACACAACACTTCAATTTGTCGAAACTCATACATCAAAAAAGAAAAAAAAAATTATTTGATTGACACAACATTTGAATCATTCCCGACAACTTTCTTCCTTAACTTTTGTTTTGCAGATTGCAAGACAAATATCTTAATCAATATGTTTGACCAATATTTCGGCCAATCCTAGACAATAGTTTGGGTGTCATGATCATAGACTTAGCTGAAATTGTACATATTGGACCATTGTGACGCCCAGCTTCCTATACTATTCATACAATGCAAATTTTTTTTAATCGATACATATATCCAGAAGCTATACAACATTCAATTGTTGCATTAGGTGAAGCCGCAAGGCAAATTCGGCACACAATCGTATAATCCAAGATGACGCCATTAGGTCCAATAATGCGATAGAGTTTAGTTATTATATTCTCCAATGGCCTGAAACTAATCGTTCATTCAGAATTTGGGGTGGTTTTGGGAAGGAAAAGCCATGACCATTGACGAATCTTGGCTAGAAATAATTCCAATTCTCGTTTTGCCCTTTATCGTTATAATTTTTTTGAAATCTTATGCATGCATCATATTATGTTCCACTTTTGATTTTATGATTTTATTAGATATGTAACATGTTATGTTGTTAAACTATCGAAATGTTATATTGATATCGATAATTACGAAACTATTACCTGACATAATTCGAACCTCCCTCTCTGAATTAGGGCTTTGAATTAAGTCTAGTTTTTAAGCAGTAGTGATTTATATATTCTGCACCTTAAAGTAATGCATCTCATGCACACTTGAACGAGTTTATGTGTGTGTATGCATAATGTATGGTCAAACCTCAACATAATGGTCAAAGATGGGGGGAGCTAGGTGGTTCAAAGATCTAATGGGCGCCGAAAGATGCAAAGGAAAGGACTGCATGCCATCATCTTATAAGAGACAAGAAAAGACAGGATTCTTTATATTTGGGAGCTGATCAACCAAAAAGCTCACCCCAAAACATGCAAGATGGGTTTTGTTCTTGTCCTCTTGCATATTATTATCATCTTGTTAAAGTCTGTTATCTTAATTTTGGCTTTCTCACTTTTTGGTCAAGCCATTCTTGCCCAACAGTCTTTACGACTCAAAAGAGTGGAACGCCTTTTTTGCATATACAAGAGAATTTTAGGCAAAAGTAAAGCTACCAAGAATCAATCTAATTGAGTATTTATTGTTACTTTTCCAGAATTATTTGTATTGATATGAGTTGCTAAAGTATATAATAAAGTCATTTTATCCTAACCAAAACCTCCCTAAACTTTTATAAGTATGGATAATTTAGTACGAGCATGTACTCTCTGTGGGGTCAGTTTCATATATATATTGGAAACATTTTCCTTTTCTATTTTGTTCTTGTCAATTTTTGGACTAATAGTTCATGTAAACTTCGAATCCCAGTATTTCATCGTGAACGACATACAATCGACGATGTTTATGTTGTTATGTTGTCAAACTAGGAATTTAACGATGGAAGAAGTTGATTCTTATCAAAATATTTAATATTAAATATCACAAGAGAACACTAAGAAGCATGTTCTACAGTTTACTTCACTGTTTTATTTGAGAGGAGCGGGACTCCTAAAGTTTGGCCTCACAATTATTCATTATCCCCTTTTGATATGAGAGGAAACTTCCCTCTTCCCGTTTCATTGTCCTATTTTTTCTATCTCTCTCCTCATGTTACTTAAGAGAGAATAAAACAGAAATAGGGAAGTATTTCTCCTTTGAGTTGCGCTCCCATACTGGATTTATTCTCCTCCAAAATATTACGAGAAAATAGATGCATGGTTGCTACCAAAAATATTACGAGAAATGAACATAATTCATACAAAAGAAACTTTTGAAATAGATATTTCTTGGTCATTCAAATTTTTTTTTTCACATGGAAAACTTGTGGCAGTAACAAGCAAGAACAAAGGATTCCAAAAGGATTTCTTTTTCATTATACCCATATATAGAATCATGTCAGTAGAAAGAAAAAGAAAAAGCTAAAAGAACAAAAAGAAAAAAAAAATACAAAAAAGAAAAGGTAAGAAGCACCATCTCAACAAAAGAAGTAGAGTTAGTACAGTGTGAGCTGAGCTCTCCTGTGTCAAATTATGACCTATGCCTGTCAGTCCACCTCATCTCTAATTCAACTAAAGTTTTTTTGACCCCCACATGTGCATGCAAACCACAAACATTGTCTTCTTCCTTTTGTTCTTCCTTCACTTTCCATAGTTTTTGCAGAGGTCCTCATCTTCATCTCCTCATGTGATCTCAGCTGCTAAAATTTATTCCATGCCAAAAATTGGTGTCTGAAAGAGATTGGTCTTTGCATGGGTCTGAAATGTGTGAAGACTTGGCCCAATCCAGCTTCCATAACCAGAAGAAGTTTCAAATCCGCTGTTGCTATTTAAAGCAATAGGTGTAGCAAATGGGATTGAATTTGTACCACTTGTACTTTGGTCTTGTTGTTGTTGACCATGGGCATTGTAATTACCAAAGTACCCGTTGTTGGTTTCAGAGGGAGAAGTGCTAGAGGTGGCTGAGACTGAGAAGTCCATGTTGAAGGGTATTTGTGAGGAATTGTTGCCATAGGGCACATTAGTCGTACAAGATTGGAACAAGGATGATGGTGAAACTGAGACAGTGCTAGGGTTCTTGGCATTGTGGTGGTACCCGAAAATGTTGGACCAGTAATCTGTTGATGGGTCTTGTTTGATGGGAATTGCGAAGCTTAGTGTGGAGGAACTAGGCTGCTGAGATGCGAAGGTGACAGAGGATGCAGAGGAGAGATCTCGATCATCCGCTGAACGGTTACCTTCGATGCTCTTGCTATCGGAGTCCGACGAGTTCTTGGATTTTCCGGACATTCCTCCTATGGGAAGGTTGCTGTTAGCAATGCTCTTCACGTCGTAGCGGGTCATGTCAAAGTTAGTCACGGCATTTAGGCCTCTGAACTTGATGGCAGCAATGTCATAGGCCTCGGCAGCTTCCTCTTGGGTGCCTGTTGAAAGCAAAATTAAGGTCTTTATTAGTTAACAACACAAAGTCTTGATTGTGAAATTTTTAAAAGGAAAAAGTGAAGGGACTTACTGAAAGTGCCAAGGTAGAGGTCTTTGTTGCCTGCAACCCTTCCTATTCTTGCCTGCCATCTACCATGTTGATGGTGCCTGAAATAAAAAAAATTGGATTTTAATTAGACGAAAAAAAATATATATATATATATATATATATTAATATCAACAAAAGGTGAACTACAAACCTTGTGACCCCCCTGTAAATAGAAGCTCCTCTAGAAAATCCACTACTTTTCCTGCAAAATTTAAAAAAAAAACAACAAAAAAATCTCTAAAAACCCAGCAACAAGAAAAAGTATTAATTTATATATAATTTTTTTTTAAAAAAGTAATCGACAACATGTAAATATTTATTATTTACCTTCGAAGAGAAGCGACAAATTCCTGCCTAGTCATGTTCTTCATCTCATTCAATTCCTTCTCATAGTTAGAAACCTTCGAAATTGATGACAAAGTTAGATCATAGCTTTTCAAGAAAAAAAACAAAACAAAAAAAATCCTAAACTCAAAGATATTATTGCATGCCGGCCGCTGATCTCACCGGAAAGTTTGTGGTTGTAGTCGGACCCCAGTATTTGAGAGCTGCCAGATCGTAGGCTCTTGCTGCCTTTTCTTCTTTATCATATCCACCTATAAATATTATTACAAAACAATTTCAATAAGTATTTATTTAATTTAATTACTTTTTCATAAATAAGAATCTGAGCCATGATTTGGTGCATTCGTGCGAAGAATATTTTTCTGATACAGTGACCAAAATCTAGAGTGAATCTATCTAATCCAAGTAAAACTTGATCATGATCCATCCTTGTACTTGAAAATAATGATTTTAATTAATAATGGGCAAATAGTTATATAGAAAAGGCCACCAGTAAAAACTCACCCAAATAAACTGCAGAGAAGTTGATGATGATGATGATGATGATGATGATTAAAGCATATCCATAGCAGCAATCATTTGCGTCATGTACATGCCACAAAAAAGCAAACCCACATCAGAATCTTCACCACTCATGAAATTAAACACAATGTGCACGATAGCAGAGCTAGCTGCTTTGTGCCTAGTGTGCGCCTTAGGTGTCACAGGCCAGAAGATCTAATCTCAATCTGAGGCCTGAGCCCTTCTCTGCTCATTTGCTCTGAATGATCGGGACCGTTGCCAGAGCTAGACCCAGTAATGGATCCAGTGGACCCATTGGATTTAAAGCAACTATCGTACACCTTAGGCGCACGTTAGAATCAAACAGGGGCGAAGAACCTTAAAACCCTAGGAAGATTGGTCCATGGTGAGAAAAATAAAAAATGAAGAAAATGGAAATTACCTTGTCTGCCTTTCCTACTTTGTCCTTCTCTTCTGCAACTGTTATCCCACAGATGCGCTTCATATCTTCCTGTCCACCTGTGCCTAAAAATTCAAACCCACCACCACCAACCCCAAAACAAAAATTATCAATAACAATAATAATAAGCAAATATTCTCAAAAATAATTATAGATACATAAAAATTCATAACGATATCAACTTATCAACTTGTAGTTGTAGCTGAGGCGATTAAGAGCAGTTATTTCCTTTTTACCTTGTTACGCCGCGGTAAATGGAGGTGCGTTGGCCGAAGGTGTCGGCTGTTTTTTTCGGGGTGAGTTCGGATGAGGCGAGAGGGACCAGGTTTTGGGGTTTGGTTGTTTGGACACTGGTGGCGGAGGCGGTGGCGGGGGTGGAGAAACCGCGGAGGAAACTAGCGGCTATGGTTTTGAGTTCGGAGTCGTAAATCTCGTTTTCGGACAAAGCAAGAGGAGCAGTTTGTTGGTGATTGTGGTGGTGATCAGCAGCAGCAATAGTACCAGAGAAGTGAGCGAGGGAGGTCGGTGTGCGGAGCTGAAGATTGAGAGGTCGGTTGGAGGAGGAGGAGTTGCACCGCCAGGGTTTGAGTGATCTTGTTGTTGATGAGCTGCAAGAGCAAGAACATAAAAAATAGTTGATGTTAAGTTAAAATAGATTTGGGTTCATTTAATTAGAAAAAATAGATTAGTAATTATTTAAGAGAGAGAGAGAGAGATTTTTGGGGACCTGAAGTGTGAGAGGGGGAGGAGGCGAAGGCCTCGAAGAGGGAGAGATCATGGGAAGGGTGACGGTGATGAGAGTGGTTGGAAAGAGAGAAGCCGAGGAGCCAGTTCTGAGGAGAAGAATCCATGTTTTTTTAGTGTTCCAATTTGTTTTGATGACGGTGATGATGGTGGAAAGAGATGTATGTGTTGGGTTGTGGGTTTTCTTTGTCTTTGGAAATAGAGCAAAATATTCAGAGACGTGTGGTTTTTTTCTTTCACAGAAACAGAAAGATAGAGCGTGAATGTCAAAGTTATAAGGTAAATGGGAAGGGTTCAGTTTGCGTTGAGACACATATATTGAGGAGGTGATATTAGCAGAAGACTTAAAGACTAGAAGTAGTAGTAGAAGTTTGATGGGGTGAATGAAGAAAGAGATGAATGAATGAATGAAATAAAAGAGGGAGGAGGAGAGAGAGTGATGTTTAGGGTTGCACGAGGATCGAGATTCTTTTGTTTTATGAGTAAGGGGAGATTAAATAGTAGAATAAATGGCGAGAGAGAGAGAGAGAGAGGGAACAAAGAAAGCAAAGTGGAAGCTTTTGATGGGATGACTGGGCGGTGTGTGTGTCTATATTTCTCTCTCTTCTCATATCATCTTCTCTTCTCTTTTGGGTCTGTTGACCGAAGAAAGCCATTACTTTATTACATGATTTTTGAGAGAGAGAGAGAGGGAGGAGAGAGACAGAGAGAGGGTATGTGATGTGTATGAATGTGGGGAAGCAAGAGGGAGAGAAAAGAAACACCGTGACCCATAATAGTAGAGGACACTCGTAAATAAAATCATTTCGGATCCTCCCTTCCTTTGCCGCGTGTCATTTCTTTTTGTCCCTCCCTCCCTCTGTAAAAATATACCTCCTCTCTTCCTCATCCTCTTCATTTGCTTAACACTGAAGCCTCATGCCAGGACAACTCGCACCTCTCGGGCGCCCTTCCATTTTTAACCACATCTATAATTTTGGGGCTGCCATGTGTCAAACATCACGCCAGTTGCCCTTCAGTCTTGTTCTGGCCTCATCAGCCCATTTTAAGGCTTTTGTTATGTATTTGAACATTTTGCTTCTTGGCAACCATGTTAAAAGAGAATCTTATAGAAAATATATCATTAGGCAATTTCATTGCTATCAATGAAGGCCTTTATACACTCTTAACAATTTGATATACATGTTGAAAATGCTCTTTTTGAAGGAAGTTAAGGTTCCACTCCAAAATTAATTGGCAATAGGGGAAGTAACCCAACTCATTATAAGTCCTTGCTAGGTTTCTCAACTCTCCAATGTAGGACTCTTTACCTTCACATTCTCACGCGTCCCTGCACATGTGGCGAATTTTCAAACCTAGTATGTGGACAACATATATTGGGTGACGTGGAGCACGTGTGGCCGTTGGGCTTTCACACGTGGACTAACCTGCTCTGATATCATGAAGGAAGTCAAGATTCCACCTCAAAACCAATTGGTAATGGGAGGAGTAACCCAACTCCTTATAAGCCATTGCTAGATTTCTCAATTTTCTAATGTGGAACTCTTTACCTTCACATTTTCATACTTTTGTGTTGCCTTAATTGAAACGATCCAAACTTTTACTCACAGAACATAAGAAGAGAGGCAGTGAACGCGACCAAGATGCGAGTGGGGAATGTCAGTATAGATCGGCATATTGCTTGCTACGTGACCTTATTAGCATCCAAACAATTCAGAGAGAGAGAGAGAGAGAGAGAGGCGGGGAGAGACGGTGGGAGTGGTGGCATTGTCTGCGAGAGGATAGATTTGGTAATGGCATCCACATGCGTGCATGTCATCTCAACGACACGTGTACACTACAAAATAATATCAATTATTTATAAATGTGATGCGTACGTGTCATGCTGCATGCATGAAAACCAAAATGAAATCGGATTGTGAATATTAATTCATATCTTTACTATGAGTCTTTATTATGACAAGCAATTATAGAGCAAGCAAGAGCAGGGTATGTGGTACCTGAAGCTGCTGCTATACATGCAGCATGATGCATTATCACTCAACTTAATTTGGTCTTCAAATTATTATTGGGATCTCCTTGGTGGTGTTTGAGGCCATACCCCTCTCTCTCTCTCTCTCTCTCTCTCTCTCTCTCACTATTATTTATATAATTGTATTCTTCCTATATAGCTACCTAGATTGTCAAATTCTAACATGGGGTTTCATTAGTCATGTTGCTAGATGTAAATTTGGATCATTGATGTAGTAGGTGATGCATGTTTTAGATTCACAGTTTGGTAATATTACAGTTCTTTTTATAGCAATTTTTAGAGATAATTTTACTTTGATACGATTAGCATTAACGAATTTCTTGTGTAATGTGACCCAATACAAAAAGGTAATTATATAAGGTTTTAAAAGGGTACATACACACAAATTAATGAGAATAATTTACATTGTCACATATAATTGGTCTAGTATCATATATTAAAAATTGCTTTCATTTCTAGAAGATATGTATTGATGTGATGATTTCTTTTTTCTTGGATAAGAGAGTACACGATTCAAAAAGTTATAAGATCTTGTGATATTCTAATTGTAGCCTCTAGGGTATTGTATAACATGCGGAAGAAAAGTTGAAGTATGTTGCTTTTGGACCAAAGTTTATTGGATGTGTGTTACATACCTCACATGTGGCAATTAACTACAGAAAAGTTCAATACATATTTACCACAACTTAATCGTTACTTTAATGTGATAACACAAGCATTATTTAATCATTTGAAACTTAGTCATTGGAATTAAGTTATTCTCTCACTATTTGCATCAAGGAAACAACAATCCATGAAATCTCAAATCTTTCTTGCATAATGTTCTATTATTTGTTCTCTCTCTCAAATGCCACCTCTTTTTCAGGGGAGAGAAACTCTCATGCAATGGGGATAGCACTTTTTGCTATCCGCGGCTAATAACGTATGACATGTAGGATAACTTTTTCACGTATCATTATGTTATTAGTTGAGAATAACAAAATAGTGATATTCCATTATAGGCAAGTTTTTCTGCTTCCGGAGGCTGTGGCCACATGCCCCCAACTGTTAAATATTTTTTTGTCTGGCCTAGTGTTAAATATATAGCCCTAAGGCATAGTTAGTGAGGGACAAGACCAAGTTGACCAACCACCCAATCGAAGCTGCGGGACAAAGCAAAATCCACATGAATGAGAAAGTAATTAAAGAAAGAAAAGATTAGGTACATATTGCAAGGTGGGCAGACAAGGGGCAGACCTCAAAACCCGGATAAGAGCTAAAACTGCTTTTACACTAAGCAAACCCCCACAAGTGTACAAAAGGGTGCAATGCAAGTGAACGAGTATTGAAGCCTCGAAACTCCTGCCACTATATTACAATATTTTTAAAGTTTTGAACTCAATCTGAAATCAATTAGTTAAAAAATTAGATCACATTTAATTCGCTTATTAAACGAAAGTGAAGGAACCATTGCATAATCTTTTGTAAAGATGAAATGACTCATCTTGGTATATTATGATGTTTTCTACATATTAAAAGAATATATGAAAAATAAAATAATAATAGTAATAATAAAAGAAGAGAAAGCAGAGATTGGCAGAGAGTTCGGCTGAATTTGCATTTGTTTTTTCTTTCTTTATAGTAAAAGCCGAAGAAAAAAAATATTGGTATGAAATTGGCTGGCTTTCATAATTGAAACCCCAAATTTTGTCCACGGTCAAACTATGTTTAAATTAAAGTAATTAATAAAGCAATGTGCATGGTGGGTTTGTGGTCAGAGAAACGAATCATTCCTCACGTTCGCTCCCCATTTCTTTATTATTACTTCATGATCACATCTCACATGACATCTTTTTCTTCTTTTTGTTTCTTATTTGCAAATTTTTTTTATTTTTTTAATCTCTAGATACTATTATTGTCATTGCAAGAATTTTTTATATTGTATATACATTCTGTGTGTGTGAGGAAAATACTCTCTGATTTGAAGTTGAAACATGTCTTTATGTGAGGACAGGGTTTGTCAAAATTTTCAACTATATAATAAATAAAACTTCTAAATGCACCAAAGGAGATTAGAGGATAATTAAAATGAGCATAACCCAATTGTGCCAAACTTGAGCTTGACTTAAAGCTCCTTGATTTTACTTATGTCAGAATTATATTAGATTATGCCTGAGGTTAAATTTAGCGAGTTTGATTAAGCTTAGAATTGTTCATGTATGAACTCATATGCAGTAAAAAAAAATTTAATACAAGCAATACTAGGGAGGGGGAATCGAACCTAGAACCTTAAGTGTATGGATAAATGCTCTTAACCACTTGAGCAATTCTAATAGAAGATAGTAAACCGGTTTTAATAATTCAAGAGAAAGGGAAGAATTATGTACAGAGTAAAACAAACAGAAGCAGTTTGCTCAGGTGCAAATGGAAATGAGCCTATTAGTAATATCTCAGCTGTCTACATTTTGGATAAGCTAGTCTATAAGATGTACATCTAAAAACAAAGTGCAGATAGTTGCTTGAATAAGCAATCCTCTGTATTCAAAGGGTTCACAGAACAAAGTAAAAGAACCCAAGGGTAAAGACTTAAGCATTGGCAGTTGATTTGAAGTGAAAGTCATCAACTGTTGAGTAAACTTTGCCTTCCTGTACTAGATTATCAACAGCTAACCTGTTCAAAATCCAAAAGATGTAAGATTTAGATATTTTTCGGCTGCGGAAATGCGCAGGTAAATGTGTGTGTGTGTGTGTGTGTATATGTGAGAGAGAGAGATAGAGAGAGAGAAAGAGAGAGACATGAGATCATTCACTGGAATTTTCAGTTGTCGGGCTATATCATCAAGGTGTGCCCCCTCTTCCCTTGCACTGAATCAAGCAAAGCTAGTTACAATTAAATGGGAAACAGAAAGGAAGCAAAAGGAAAAGCTTACACCATGAATTTCACACATCTGCATACAAAAGAAAGAAATTGACATGCATTCATTCAGTACATCATTGATCTGCATGCCATTTCTTAAGCACCTCCTTGATTATAAAAGGCGGACTATGGCACAAGGCCTCTAAGGCCATTGGCTTTTGGTTATTAACTACTGCAATTTTGAAGCTGTCAAAATTAAGCATGGACTGCAAATAATATTCAAATGACCAAGATCACGCCAAAAATTAAAGAAATATCCAAAACAAAGAAGACTATACTAAACATCTAGCAGATGATTTATTATTGTGACTTGAGCCACTTGACAATCACCTTGTATCAAGTATTAACATACAGCTATTGCTCGAGTGCGAATTCCTTAATTACTATATTTATTTAACAGAAAATAGAAACGTCACTCACATAAGCACTCCCGAGTTCTAGCCAAAAACAAGTAATAGCCACAATCTTGTCAAAACTTTGAGCAACTTTTAAAACAAAGTAACACCTTGCAAATAGATGAGTTTATAATTATGATTTGGCATTATCATTTTCCAACATAAGATTGGTCCTTGAGTGAGAATACCTATATCAAATTATTCAATAATCGAACAGAATACTAGATTAGTAAACAATCTTGTCAGGGGCTCTTTTTTTACCTTCTGTGTGAGTGTTCCTAGTAATTTCCCCCATAAATAACTTTGATCATCTTCTCATGGGCCAAAATCTCTCGTTCAAAGTTCAAACAAATGTGATTTTCATTTACTCGGGCCATCAACATCAATCTGACAATTTATTGTCGAAGATTTACAAATGTGATTCTGTTTTTGCAGCACTCATCAACAAAATACACCCATCACACTTGGGTAATTAATACAATGAGTGCTTTTGTATGAAAAATATAATAAATTCTGCCCCAACCAAAGGGATTTGCAAACCTCCAATCCAATGCCTCAAAGCGCATCCTAACCAGTCCAAGCCAGCCCACCAAACGGGGCCTTATAGATCACTTCAAGCCACTAAACATGCAACATATGACTTGTAACATGCTAAAAGATTTTTGCTGTCCCAAAAACCCACATAATGTCAATATTTAGTTTCTTAAGCCTTGATTTTAGTTTGAGGCTGCTTTAAAAGTAACACAAGACCACAATCAGCTAAATTTTGAGACGGTTTTGCCACTCAGGCCACTTCACAGCAATATTTTCATAGCTAAACATGACTATTTTCAAGGTATGTACTCACAGGTATGAAGGCTGGCTCAAAATTTCTAAGACCTTTATTTCAGTGCTACTCTGTCCATCGAAGCTATATTGGCCAGAAAACTGAAAGAAACAATGAATTAGACTAGTAAGGCAATAACAAAAAAATGCATCAGACTGAAATCTATGGTTGAACATCAAACCTGATTTGTTGGGATTGTCATATGTGGTTGAGTAGTGACGCCAACATCAACATGTGCTTTCTATCAGAATATTTACAAAGACATCAGAAAACCAGAGCATACACTTCCATAATGTAATAACTATGCAATCCAAGTTACAATCAGATTCTCAGTAGTTAGGCCAATACCTGTAACCTGCTGTTGTAGACATGGACGTATATACACTCAATGAAGTGGCTTGCAATCTCATTATAGTCATTCACAGGCCTGAAAATCACACCAATTTCAATGTTGAAACCTCAATATGAACGATAGCATAAGTATATGTTGGTCAACGAATTGGACCCTGCTTCATGAAATCCAATGATGACTTTGTAATTTCCAAGACTTCTAATATCTAGGCCAATCATTTGGACCCTCCTTAAGAGCCATATCAAACAATTACAGGAAAACGGTAGCGAAATGATGCTACTGGTTCTAGTGGTCACACCTTGTGGATGCTTCTCATTAGAAGCTTTTAAATCTTCACTAACTAAGTGGCCCTTTGGGACCCAGAGTACATAACAAGATCAAGAATGCAGCATTCTCACAAATTTTAAATTACTACTCTCTGAAAATAACTCCAATACTGTGGCACGTGCTAATTCTTTATGAAAAAAAAACTTCCATATAAGTTTGAAGTCACTACCTCGTGTGCCACACACAATAATGCTTGGAAAGAAAATACTTGGGATGACATATTGTATTTACACAAAATGACATATATTGAGTATCTCAGTGCAAAGTTTTTCTAGAACGTAACATGATCAATGCAGGGTAGACCTCAAATTCCAGTTAGAACAATAATATTAGCCACAGATTTATCATCAACGAAACAATTCAAGATCCTAAAAGACACAAGTACAACCATACGTACTGATACAAATTTTCCTTTCAACTGTACCATATCATAAGAAACTTCGTAACCTCCCTTGAAGTTTCTTCTTCATAAAAAGATAAGGAAAAGATAAAATTGATAGATTCTTTTACTTGTAAGCATAACTAGTTCTAGTTGCTTAATCAATTTTATTATTTTGTCTGCAAGATATAAGTCACGCACTACCTTCCCTGCAAAACTTATCCACTCTCTACCACATGCAGAAAAGTCGACAGGCCCAGATTTTACATCAGAAAGACCAATATACTAATTACTACTAATCCTAATAAAGACTTCAATTATTTCTTTCCAAGGGAATTTATATCAATCACTGTACTTGCTGCCTAGTTTCAAGCGATTCCTTGACTCATTCATTCTAATGATGGAATGATTATTGTTTTCCTAATAGCTAAACAAGCCATAAACAAAACTCAAGCCTATAGTCTCTCCAATAGCAAGCAAGCAATCAATAGAAGTGAACTTCATTAAATAAATGGCAAACAAAATGCTAACACTAACCCAAGACAAAGAGTTCCATAAAGTACAACAAAGTTTACCAAAATACTGAATTAGAGACCTACTCATAAGTATAATCTCTTAAAGTGTGAAACAAAAGGGAATATACCTAATAGAGAAGACATTTAAGGTCTTTTTGCCCTGAAAGCTCTTCAAGCGTCCATGAACCCGGACATACATTCCATCCCTGATATTAAGGAAAAATATTAGAATGCATCAATTTAAAATTTCACTTGATTCCATAGTAAAAGGGGAAGGAAAAAAAATTGCAATATATCTTGAAAAAGTGGAACAAAATTCAATCAGAATATGAACAGCTTTGAATCTTAGATAATTAAGAAAACACTTGAAAAGCGAGAGAAAGGGCTTTATTCAAATAAGTGAGTGAGAAACACCCAAATAAAGCTACATGTTAATCGAAGTACAACACAGAAACAGGTGCAATTAGTTAGGCAAGAAAGAAGCATACAAGATTCTTTCCATTTCATTTGCGTCTATTGCTTCATCAAACCTAAACAAGCACCAGAAGCCGTCATTGCCAATTTGACAGAACTAAGAAACTTACTAACATATAATTATCAATCTGATGACAAGAAAAGCCTTGAGAAAACTTACCACTTGTTACAATCCAACCGTCCAGTCCCATCGTCAAGAATGAAAGCAACATCCGTAATTCTTCCAACTTTGTCACGGACCATCCCCACAAGTGTAACCTAAGAACAAATAAAAGTCAGAAACCCCACCAACAATTTAAGAAAGAAAACAATCTGAAGAAATAAACCCACATTGTTCACGTCAACACCGTCAATAACAAATTCTGATTTTTCATTTGCTGAGACAAATGCATCCTTTATCTGCTTCACAGTAAGTGGCAGCAATGTCTGAACGTCACGATTCTGAAAAAGTGTCACAATTACCTTAATAACCGCACTTTAATTGGTCAATGAATAATACATGCATGTGCTGTTATTTTTAGAAGACACAAATATATGCTGTAATTAAGCATTGCCATCTCACAAAGCACAAGACAATCCATATCCCGAATACTGTTTGGTTCATAGGAATGGAAATCGTGAGAAAATGAACAGTGTTCTAAACTACCCATCAGTTCAATACCTTAGAAGTTCACAATTGCTGCATTGAAAATTTCAATTTTCCTCCGGTTTGTTCGTAACCAAACACAGTAAGCACAAGAGAGAGAGAGAGAGAGAGAGAGAGAGAGAGAGAGAGAGAGAGAGAGAGAGAGAGGTACCTTGGAGGTATTGAAAGAGGGGTCGGCGGTCTGGGTGGCCTGAGGGGGCATGAAGCCACCGCCAGAGAAGGCCGCAGTGCCATCGAATTGGGTGAAGCTCATGCCTTTCTGATCTCTGAGAAACCCTAAGAGGCTAGTTTGATCAAATCAAATGACCCTGCTGAGTATTGAAAGACCGAAACTTAGGTATAAATGGAAATCTGATTCCCGCCACATTTTCCCCCTTTTATTTTCCTTTTATTATTTTCCACTTCTTTTACTAACAATGAAAGTTTAAATTTAGCTCCAATAACTCGTGAGTTAGTCCAGTTGGTGAAGTAATGTGATTGTTGAGGCCCAAAAATCCAAGGGGCTAAGCTCAAATTAATCCTTAGCCCAATATGGGTAATTGGATGCAAAATAAACTCAATTGGGATAAAAGGAAATTTATAAGAGCCGCCAACACAAGCTACAAGCCACGAATCATGCTAAACAAGCACGTGCAGAAGAAGCCAAGGACATACCGATATTACTAAATCATGCTCACATGCCCATTCGGTGCTACTTGGCCCGACTCTAGCCTATCATGGCATAATAAAACCCCAAGCACGAGCATAGAAATTATGCGCATTCTAATACCAAGCTACGTCACGAGCTTAAGTGGGCCCAAGCCACGAAATCAACCGGGGCTTACTGAGAAGGTTGTGGTATGGAAGGTGACAAGCAATCACAGGGCCCATTGAGGGTTCAAGGAACGTAGGTTTCAAAGCCACTTGGGG